CATCTTTAATGCCTCCTCCTTCATCTTACCCCAGACAGGCTCAATAACGTTCTTATCTGATGACTGGGCAGGCCAATCCTGGAGCACATTGACCCTCTTCTTTTTAGGAACTTTGATGTGGAGGCTGAAGTATAAGAAAGAGCGCTGTCCTGCTGAAGAATTTGCCCTCTCTTGTGGTTTGTAATGTAATGGGCAGCACAAATGTTTTTAAACCTCAGGCTGTTGATCCATTCTGCAGATCTCTTGCATGCCCCCATACTGAATGTAACACCAAACCATGATTTTTCCTTTACCAAACTCGACTGATTTCTGTGAGAATCTTGTGTCCATGCATGTTCCAATAGGTCTTCTGCAGTATTTGTGATGATTGGGATGCAGTTCAACAGATGATTCATATGAAAAATCTACCTTCTGTCACTTTTCCAAATGATCAACTAGAAGTCAAGTTGGTATTTGTTGCTCTGACAACTGGAATCGATGAGAAGACGTTTTTCAGGTAGTGTAAATGCGTGTTTAAGCCATATTTTAATATCTTCACAACTGATAAAATGTCATAATGTCCTGTAAATTCCATCACAAAGCTCTACATTTTTATGTATCTTTCGGGATTAATAGGTTAGTCCACTCAAAAATGACAATTATTTATCGTTTACTCTGCCTTATGTGGTTTTCAACCTTTGAGTTTCTTTCTTTCTTTTTTTTTTTCTTTAACAAAAGAAGATATTTTGAAGAATGCTGGTTGCTGGCATACATTGTCTTCCACAGTAGGAAAAAAAATTCCATGGAAGTCAATGGGTCTAAGCAACCGGGACTTTTCAAAATGACTTATTTCAACAGATAAAAGAAACCCAAATAGTATTTGGGACAACGTGAAAGTTTTTTCCAAATACTATTTTCAACGTGAAAATTTTTGGGGGGGTGAACTAACCCTTTTAAAACTACCACTAATTCTGCCAGGACTAAATACACTTTTGGTCTGGCCCAAACAAACCAAAAGACCTGAACTGCAAGTGTGAACACCAAATATCAAATCTAATATAATGTAAACGATCCAAAATGTAAAGAAAATCCTCAACGCTTTCATAACTTGCAAATTTGATTGAATAAATTCAGCTTTCACCCTCATTTTGGCTTGGCCATGATGCATGAAAAATGAAGTTTGAGTTATTGTGACAGCATGCATGATTTTTTCTATTACTTTATATACAAAGGAGCAATAGGCACCATTTTATGTTGAGAGGCTGAGAGAAAGACATGCAATTTTAAAGGAAAATGAGTCACAACTTCCATTTACTCTGGGCCAATGGAATAACACAGAATCTGGGTGCGCGTGTGGTGAATCCAAATCCAATGAAGCCAAATCATAAAAATGCAGTTCAGCTGCTCAGGTTACGCTAATGAAGCTCAACAGCTGGATAAATGTATCGACAGCGTAACACCAATAGCGAAATACTTAAAAAGAAATGCCTAATGTAACTGGAGTTTACCAATAACAAAAACAGTGGTTAGTATTCAAATGTATGCACTGTGACAGCCCAAACTTTCTTGCATTTAATTTACACTTGACAATTTTTATGCGTTGGGCTTTAATTTGTCAAGACTTTAATTTAGACATTCAGTACAAAAAAGGCAAAGATAACCTCATTGCTTATACTCTATCAAGATCTTGTTTGTAAACATGAAGATGTTTATTCTTGTCTGTGGGGGTGTTATGTCCCTTATGTATTAATTCTGCTCTTTTTATTTTTGGGAAGTGTTCTGTGTCTCTCTGCAGGAAGTAGCTGCTTGCTCCTTTTTTTGGTCCTGCCCCTATTCCTATTGATGCGAACCTCAAAATTGATGCTGACCATGTCCATCTCTTAATGACCACAGTGTACCCATCTGCTGATGGCTATTGCCAGCAGGATAGAACGCCATGTCATAAAGCGCGAATCATCTCAGACTGGTTTCTTGAACATGACAATGAGTTCACTGTACTTAAATGGCCTCCACAGTCACCAGACTTCAATCCAATAGAGCACCTTGGGGATGTGGTGGAATAAGAGATTTCCATCATGGATGTGCAGCTGACAAATCTGCAGTAACTGTGATGCTATCATGTCAATATGGGCCAAAATCTCTGAGGAATATTTCCAGTACTTTGTTGAATATTTGCCACAAAGTATTAAGGCAGTTCTAAGGGGGTCCATCCTGGTACAAGTAAGGTGTACCTAATAAAGAGGCCGGTGAGTGTTCCTTTCTGAAACCACTTAATGCAAAGATCTTGCTGGTTGTTCAGTCTTAAAAGGATCCAAAATGAAAAAAAAATCTATTGAAGACCAAATATATTTTGCAGATTGTTGAAAACTGTTAGCCACTGACATCCATAGTACAAAAAAAATTCTAATTGCAGGTCAATGACTACTAGTTTCAAACATAAAAAAAAAAGAATCCAAAAAAGGATTTTACTTTGTAAATGACCTAATTTTCATATTGTGTCCAGGGACTGTACAATTTGTAGTCAATTTCAGCCTTTCATTTCTCTGTTAGTCTCTCTTTTCTAAAATGACATCACTTTTCAGCCTACAATACCTTCTATTCTTTATGCAGAATTGCATCATTCACACCCACCGCGTTTCCTGCCCGAAAACATCAATCCCATTTTCCCCCCATCTCTTTGTCTATATTCTCCAACATTCCACCCCCTTCCTCATCCCACTTCCTTCCTCAAACTCTGTCACTACATCACCAACTGTTGGCATCATCGCACATCTGCTCTGAAGCCATGTGGTCAAAAAATAAAAAAATCCCCGGGCCATTTCCTGCGGTTCTGTCCTATGAAGGATGTGACTAGCCATATGTGAGCAAATGCATGTCCAAATAATGTGGCTTACGCAATCATTAATGCAACTCATCAGATGACTTATCTGTCAGTGACAAGAAGTGCATCAAAAATATCATTGTGATATGGATTTCACAACAAATGGAAGTAGACACAGACACTAGTATTGTTCAAAAACAGGTGTGCAGAAGTCTGTATAGCTGAAGGAAATCCTTAAGGAATTGGGAGAACTTCCTGCAGGATTGTGATTACTTCCTGGTAGCCGAAATGGAGAAACAGAGGAAGAAAAGAGCCCATATGGAGATATTTTTTATTTACTCTGTCTAAACCCCTCCTCTACTTTCTGACCGTAACTGAGGACAGATGTCATCCATTAAATCCTGCAGCTTATAGGAGCCGAAAAACCTTTCTCCCCCCAAACTCATCCTCAGCATATCCATCCACCCTCTGACCACAACATTACAGTCATGACTTTTCTTCCTGTTTTCCTGCGGTAATCGGCCGTTCTTTTTTGCATCCTCAGCATCTTTCAGTATCTGCGGTCTCTTACTTGACCTTAATTCAGACTCCTCCACAGTGTTTACTTTGATCACAGAGCAGAGAGATCTGAGTTTCTTAAAACTAAACATCTGTGACAATAATACTTGTGACTGACAGATCATAAAGTTTCAGAGCCTCATAAGTTTAATCAAATCCATATATGGATATATCCTGTAGGGTTTCCACCCTTCAGCTAGAATGGAAATGAACATGTTATTTATGGCTCTATAAATTTTGCTGTTTTGTTCTGAATTTCGTTAACATGTCACATATTTTTGTGAACAAAAACTATGCCCATTTTATATCATAGTTTTGCATAATGACAGTGTTTTTATAAACTGATTTCAATCTACACTCAAAGATCAGATTTTTTCTAAAAAGATTATAAATGTTAATGTAATTTTTTTTCAAATCAGAATACATTAAGACCACGATAATTTTCTCATCTCATAATTTTCTCAATCTCATTGGCATTACAAATGTTAAATCACAATACATAGGTTATTCTTCAGCAGATATCGTTTCTTATTTGCAGCTTTTGTTGCCTTCTTTTTGAAATATTGTGACATTCAAACAATTTAGACTTTGAATCAGAGATGCCCAAAGTAGGGCCCGCGGGCCAAAGTTGGCCCATTGTAACTTTTGATTAGGCCCACCATCCCATCTGAGAATGATAGAGGGAGTTGGAGCAATGCCTTTAACAGATTGTCAAATTCTGATTTGACATTAGATTTTCATATCTAATTTGACTTAACCTTTTTTTGTTTGTTTGTTTTATTTCACCACAAAAAAACTAATTGAAATGACGTTTCAGTTAAATATAAATTAATCTGAGTTTTTAAAACATAAATGCTGTCACTCGACAAATGGAGGACTATGCAAAAGACATAGCAAATCAAGGCACAAACTAGTGATAAATTAGTTTATTTTTTTACTGCAACAAAAAAAAGTTTTAGTTTGGTATTTTATATATATATATATATATATATATATATATATATATATATATATATATATATATATATATATATATAAATAAATAAATATAAATATACTGTATAAGTTACTGTATTAGTTATTTTTATAAATATTATTAAATAAATTGAGAAATTACCTATGGCAACTATATTTACCTTTGGCCCACTAGCCTTAATAAAGTTTGGATTTTTGGCCCTTCACGAGAAAAGGCACCCCTGCTTAAAATCAAGTCTGTGTCTCACATACACACACAGTATGCTTTTATTAGCCAAGCATTGACCTACTTTAGTGAAGGTCACACAGTTTGACATGCAAGTCTAGTAGTTTGTTATACAGTAACAGTTATCAAAGAACTTTATCCAGTTTCGACATATTGTTTGGAAAAAAGTTTTTTTTTTTTTACTTTAATAAAACAAAGTCATATATTTATATGCCTTTTAGCACACAAACTTATACAATTGATTTGATATGAAACGTTTGTTTTTATCAGTTTTTATTTTATTTCTTTTTTAAATCATGTTTTTCTTCTAGCATGAATTACAGAGATGTAGTCATGTATCGTTCCCTAGGGATGAAACATCTTTCGATGCTCATATCTGTACATGTTATCAGTTATCAGTGATACATATCAGTTTAAGTTTTAATAATGCATGATACTCACCTCAGGTTTCATATCTTGTTTCGAGGACGATCCGTGCGCGCACACAAATATTAGGAGCAACAGCCTCGTGAACCCGCTCCAGATCATTTTTCGCTCTGATTCCTTTGTTGAAAAAGTACTCGTAATAAAGTTTGACACCACTTTGTTACTGTCGAAATAAAAAACGCTTTAAAAACTAGTGCCTACCACAATAGTGGTACAAATTGGACGAGAACTTTGGTTTCTCCAGAAAAGCGGGAGAATACAGACGTTTATCAAAATGTAAACAATACCTGCGATATATTACCGTTGCATTGCACGGACTGAAACTCTACAGTCTAAAAGTCATCGTTTCATGCACTGGGCACTAGAATGGAGCATCGACAGAACGCATTGTAAAAACAGACAAGCTATCATTGGCAAATATATCTTTGTCTTATTTTTCTAGTTTAATAAAATCTTCGGCTTCTCATGCACAGCAGCCCCTTTCTCTTGGTTGTAGACGTGGTCGCTCGATCGAAGTTGCCAAAAAACTGGATAGTAAAATCCCTCCCTCTTCCATTTAGCCCATCCCGCTCACTTCAGATCCACGAACTTCATGGCCTTGCTGACGACTTTTTTGCTGGAGCTTCCTAGTGGACAGAGAAAATACTTCTTATGCCAGTTTCTAGTAGACTATTGTTTAGATCAATGTTTTTTAAGCAATTTTAATTGAGGGTTTTGCTCGACATTCGTTTAGTGTTTACCATCTGTCTCTTTGTGGCACTGCACAAAACACTGCTCTAAAGCAAACAAGCATGACAGAATGATTCATTTACACTTGATGGAAAAATACGAGCATAGCGCCAGGGGATGTAATGTAATTTGGCTTTTTATGTTATTGTTGATATATTTAAAACATTTGTAGGATTTTTATGTCATTAAATTCTTACAAAATTAGACAATTTATAGTTTTGTGATTTAACACCTCATGGTTTTTTAATGTACAGCATATGTTTTGTAGTCATAAATGCAGCGTATATTTTATACAGTATTATCATGTCTTGAGTCTGTTAGTGCCAAGGTTCAACACTCCCACCTACCGGTGGCATTCTATCATTACATGTTTTGCATTTTGATCGATTTTGATAGATAAACTGGAGCAGGGGTGCCCATACCTTTTCTTAAGGAGGGCCGAAAAGCAAAATTGATTGAGGACTGTGGGCCGAAGGAAAAAAATACCAAACTATATTAAATTAAAGTTGCCATGGGTAATTAATAATGTTAAAAATAACTATAAATCTATGCTTTATATTAACTAATGCAGTTTTTTTAATAATACGTTAATAACAGTAATAACAAAAACAATCCCATTTAGAACAGAGGGAAGTTTAATGCCGAATACACGAGTCAACCTGCATCTGTTTTTGCCTTGATGTGATGTCTCGCTGATGTCTTTGGCATTGTTCTCTGTCCATAGATTGACAGTATTTACAGTATTTTTGAATCTAATTGACACATTTATGTTTAGTTTGCTTTTTTTGTAGCTCAGCAATAAAACAATCAAAAAAGCTATGTTATATTAGAAATTACAATCTCAGCTAAAGGCATTCGCCCCCAACCCTCCCATCAGTCTCTTCTCAGACTGGATGGTGGGCCAAATCAAAGGTTACCGTGAGACAACTTTGGCCCGCGGGCCCTAGTTTGGGCATCTCTGAACTAGAGCAAATACAGTGCTCATCATGGCGGAGTACACCACATTTTGAAAATGAGTATTTTTATCCATTTGCCAGTGAATATGGGCAAAATAAATTGGTGCATTTGAACAAAACAGATTTATTAAACAGATATATTTATGAAAATAAGATTTTAGTCATGGAACATCTTTAATAATAATAATAATAATAATTCCTTACATTTATATAGCGCTTTTCTGGGCACTCAAAGCGCTTTACACACAATGGGGGGAATCTCCTCATCCACCACCCGTGTGCAGCATCCACCTGGATGACGCGACGGCAGCCATTTTGCGCCAGACCGCACACCACACACCAGCTGATTGGTGGAGAGGAGACAGCGATGAAGCCAATTGGAATATGGGGATAGTTAGCAGGCCATGATGGACAAAGGCCAGTGGGCAGCTTTAGAAATGGAAAGATAAATCATTTAAATTCATGCAAAATATTGCAAGAGAAAACATTCCAACAAAATTATATATACTTTGTTTCTCTTGTTTTTTGTTATTTTTGAAAATTTAATTTAATATTTTCCCTAACATATAAATTTGGGCTACTAATATTTGAACCATTATTGTAAGCTATTTTGTTAGATTAGCTCCAGATTTGGCTTCAGTACTGACTAAACTAATGTACATGCACAAATATAATATTGTAAAGCATACTATAGAAAATATTAATTTAAATGAGAGATTCGTGCATGTTATCACATATTAAGATGTTTAAAATAGATCCCACCTTTTCCTTTTAGAAGAACTTCCTTCTGTACTTCTGGGGAGCCCTGAACGATTTGTGAAGAGATCTTTCATTCATCAGATTTAAGGATGTTAAAGATGGTGCTGAACATGTGAATGTAGAAGGTTTGCACACCCTTACTGAGTGACTGATTTGCTGCATTTTCCATATCGAAGGAACCCATGATGACTTTTTCTGAGTGAACATAAATCTTTTCGGGTATTAATGTGAAGGATTAATGATTATATCAAAGGGGTTTTTCCCATTGCTTAAGTGCAATGTATTTTGGGTAGTACTTTATATTATAGTTATGTTTTGTGTGTTGCCTACATACGTCCTACTTAAAGTAAGAATACATAACTGAGCTAATAACTGGGTATCACTTAACCTACACTGTAAAACCCAAAAAGTTAAGGTAACTCAAACCATTTACAAAAACCGATTGCAACAAACCATTTAAGTTCAAAAACTAATTCTAATGTGTACTGTGAACCTAATCCATTTGAGTAAATGAAGAAATCTGAGCGCAGTAAAACCTAATAAATGAAGAGAACTCAAACCAACTGAGTACTGAAAAACCCAATATGTTAAGGCAACTCAAACTGTTTGAGTTTCTCTTTTCAAATTAGAAAAATTAACTTTCAGTACATTTTGAGTTACCTACACTCATTTCATTTGATAAAGTTGACTGTTGGGTTTTACAGTGTAACATTTAAGGCATAATTCACCTAAAAATGATAATTATTTACTCAGCCTTCAATTGATCACAAGCTATTTCGAGCTTCATTCTTCTGTTCAACACGAAAGATTTAAGTTTAAAGAATGCTGGTTACCTGAACCTACTGACTTGCATAGTATTTTTGTTTCAGTACTATGGAAGTCAATATGTGCCATCAACCAGATTCGTTTCTCAAAAGTGGAAGTAGGCATAGTTGGGTAAACTTAAAAGCGTAGTGAATTGGAGAGTACAACAATTTTTTTTTTTTTACAATTGTAATTGCTGAAATAATAAAAGAAAAGCTCAGCGATGGTGAAAAAATGTGGAGACTGATAATTGCAGACAAGTATACCAAGCATCAGCAGCAGAAAACTGAAAAGAGTAGCAACCAAATAAAATGCGAACTGTGGTTATACAAAGGTTAATAAAACTACTAGAGCGCAGATTTTGACATGTTTTCTGAATGTTAGGAAGTGACTGTAAATATACTTTAGTAGAGTTTTCACAATAAGAGTTTTCTAAAAGAACAGAAACCAATGAATTGGTCGACGTAATTGGAGAAAAGGCCAATTCAATAAAGAATACAGTTGACAGTGATGAGTATTAAACGGCGCAACAGTAACTAAACTAATTGCTGCTTGGTAAATAACATCCAGTTTGTGAAGAAGAGTTTTTTAAGCTGATCTGTAAATTAAATCCCTATAATTCAAAATTGTTAATACTGTTAATTTGACCAATACCTGATTGATTTCCTGCCCTATATACGCTGCATTAAAAACTTAGAAAACTGAAAATTCTTTAAAAACTTAGAAAATTCTTTTTTTTTTTTTTTGTAATTTGTTGCAAAGGTACAACGGTAAGATATAATTCACATATAATTGCATATAAATGTTCATACATTGCAAAAAAAAATCTAAATATTAAAAGCTTTCAGGGGTTTAGGACGCTGATGACCATTAAACGCATCATTAATAGTCTTGTGAAAAGGGTCTATACTTTCTTTTGTGTCCAACAGAAGAAAAAAACTTGTATAAGGAAGAATAAATTAGGTCATTTTCATTTTTTGGCGACTGAACTATTACTTTAACCCATGTAGTTACCCTACATAACCCAGTACTTTAAACATTAATTACATGTACTGTTAATATTTAGATATTTATGCCAGATTTTGCAACTTAATGTACTGGTCTTAACTTAAAACAAGCAGTTTCTTAAGCCCCACAGTAAAGCAAATGTTGTGGAATCTCCAAATAATCTACCCCATTAGTGAGGGTAGACGTGTGACCCTCTTAGATGCAACAACTATGTAACTGTAATAACTCTATACTGTAAAACCCAACAGTCAACTTTATCAAGTGAAATGAATGTAGTTAACTCAAAATTGACTAAAAGTTAATACTACTCATTTGAAAAGAGTTTTGAACTCAGTGTTGAAGGTAATGAGTTAATAACATACCTCATTACTTCAAGTTCACAGTACTCATATAGATTAGTTTCCTCAAACAGTTTGAGTTGCCTTGACTTATTGGGTTTTTCAGTACTCAAACTTCTTCGTTTACTCAAATAGATTAAGTTCGCAGTACTCATTAATATTAGTTTTTGAACTTAAATGGTTTGTTGCAATCGGTTTCCCTTAAATGGTTTGAGTTACCTTAACCTTTTGGCTTAACCAGATTAAGTGCAACATTACACCCAATATTCACATAGCCCTACAAACAAACACATAGACCATACTTTATTTAGGTCTTATGTCTCTGCATGGTTGTCATGGTGCAAGAGATTAGAGGCCAGTCCTCAGACAGATTGTCAACGCTTCCTCCAGTTTCTCCCTCACTGCGCTTGATGTGGCACACACAGAAGCGGTGCGGAGGAGTTTGATTGTGTTAGGGAGTGAACGGATTAGGGATGCCTGTATGTGAAGAAAACTGTTCCCTCAGACCACCAAGGAAGAGTAACATCACTGTAGATGAGATTTATACTGTTAAACAAAAAGACAACAACAAAGAGTGTGAGCGATCTGAAAGAACTGCTCGTTCTGGGTCTTGCCGTGAATACACTGATTTTTATTTCCTTTTAGCTGTACCATGAAATTACAACTCACAGTCAGACTCGTACACCCAATTATTCATTTCCATGGAAGATAGATACATGTAAAAGTATCCAGACAAAGAACAAACACCACCATAGAAACAAACATTTCCACCAAGAAATATAGAAAGTGTTATTTTTCTTTAAGCTAGATAGTGGTTCATCTCAGAATCAGTCTTTTTCAATAGCTACACTGACAATATTAAAGTAACAAGAACTTACACTGACTAA